CGGCGGCGCCGCGCATGCGTAGTGGCGCCGGGGCTGCGCGGGGCCGGCCTGTCTTCCGCCGGGTCGCGGCGGGGTGGAGGAGGACCTGTATGTGCGGGGTACATGGAGTATGTTGAGCTTAAAAATGGAACTGAGGGTGTAGGATGAGGGCATCGTCTTTCTTTTCCTCTTGTCTATTCTCTTCTGTTTTGTTTTTTTTAGGAAGATGTCGTCGCTCCACAGCCCGGATGGGTAATGAGAGAAACCAGGAGCTTTTTCAGCAATAATCAAACAGGGAGCATGCCTAGTCAGGTCTGTCACAGGTAAAAATGAAGCAAGGCTTAGAAAAAAGAAACAGAAAACTGGATAGTGGGAAGAAGGAGACTCATTCACCAGATGTGGCCTGCTGGCAGTTTGGGGAAGTGGATACTGTAGCTGTGAAATGTATAAACGCTGATGGCAAAAGTTAATTGTTTCGGGTGTAATAGTGCTATGGTGTAAGAATTCAGCTGCGGTACATGTTTTATATACCTTTAAAATCATATTAAAGGCATCCCGACATAGAGGTTGGTTGGGCTTTAGGAAGCATAATCCAAATATATGAAATAGCCAATGTACATCTCTTTTCAAAAAAGTGCATAAAGAAAGAATGAAATTTCTGTTGCCTGACTTCAAAACTTGTAAGCTTTTTTTGTTTGAGTGGGACAAAAGCCATCTTTTCCGTGAGGAAGCCTCGTCATCAAGTGCTCTTCAAGCTAGGAGTCTCAAAGCATATTTCATTGGACTAATTTTAGTAACATCAATTTATTTGGTGTTAATTCTTTGCCAGAATTCTAACTTGGGCATGTAGCTGAGTTCATTCCTTTTAAGTAGTTTAGAGTAGTCACTTAAGCCAATGCTAAAGATAACTTTATCTGCACCTGACTGCTTTCACTTTACTGGGCAATCGCCAGTGTTCGTGTACAGTGAACTGTATAAGGGAGTTAATCAGTTAAGTAACCTTTTTTTAAATACACTCATTCACCTTGAGGTTAGATTTCAGGTGGCTGCCATCTGATTTGCTGTGCAGATTGCGTAAATGTTCATGCTGACACAAGGGAACGCAAGAAGAGCAGGGTCATTTTCAGTTGCAGTAATAGTTTAGGAGCATGACTGCATAATGTTAGTGTGAATTTTAAAACACTCAAAACCTGTTTCCTTAGGAAAAATATACTTAGTCACCCTGAAATAATAAGAAAATTTTGAGCACCTTCTGCCCAAGATTGAAGGGCCTTTTCTCCCCCAAATGGATTCACCAAACAAAAGTGCATGCTTGCTGAAACTCCTTCTTAGGGTTCTGAACAAGCAAAACCAGAACGTTATAATGGCAGTATTAAAAAGAAATTAACCATGGCACATATTTCTGAACCGTTGCTTCTGACCAAAGCTGCTGTTGATACTGCATCATTTGAATCACTGTACAAGCATGTTATGGCTGTTATCTTCTAAATGTGTATATATTTGCATATGAGCTTTCCTAATAAAATGAATGCAATGACTTGTACATAAAGTTAACTTACTGAAGTCTGCTGGATGATGTTTTTTATGGGCAGACTAATTAATGATTCCTATATAATGGAAAGAAAATTATTTTCAAAAACCAACAATATTACTCAAAAGCCATTATTTTTACAGGAAATTAGTATACATTACTACTTAGTTGGAAATGCTAAAAATTGGCTTCTGTTGTAGAATACAGAAATCACCGAAACCCTTTTTTTTCCTGCAGAGTAGCCTTTGAAGTGTGCATATGTAATATGTATACTGGTGATTTTGTGTCTTAAGTAATCCTCCAGGTTATGCAAGTATTGTTCACAGTATATTTCCAAGTGTGTCTGTCGATTGACATTGAACGGGGATTATATACTGTTAGTAGTAGTGTTGTACATACAATCTGTATTCTCTGGATAAATTAGTAAAGGAATTTTGTGTGTTCGTGTGGATTTTTTAATTGCTTTTTTTCCCCACTGTGTCTTTTAAGGTCAGATGTATCTTAAATCCAGGATTCTCTATCACTGAGTTGTGGTTGTAAAATAACCTCTTTAACATACTTCTGGAAAAGAACTGCATGTCTCTTTCCCAGGGTGAAAGTCAGTATGCCTTTATTTTCTGATTGTACTGTTTGAGCATGACTGTGTACTCCTGCAGGTTTCCTGCCATTAAAAGTTTGTTTGCAAGAGAAGATTTGAAGTCTGAAATGCTTTCATGACTTTTACTACTGTTACATTCTCTTGCAAGTCTTACAGCTGCATTGTTGTTGGGATAACCTGTCTGTAAGAACTAAAAGGACATCGGGTTAATTCCATAGAGGTATTTTTGTGTATCTGTATCCACACTCCCTTTGAGATGTGCTGAAATTCTCAATGACGGGATGAAAAACAAGTTGCTTATGTGCAGGGTTTGCCTACAGTTCTGGGGAATGGGAAGGCAAAGGTGGGGAATAACTTAAGTCTTGCACACTGTATGAGAGAGGACCTCTGAGACTGTGCGAGTGCACGCCGAGTATGCAATACTAGTGACCAATGTGCAACTTAACTCCAACCCTAAATTGGAGTAATGCAGCATCCTGGCTCCTGCCTCATGGTTAGTTTTTTGCAAATGAAAGTTAGGAATGTCTGTGATGATAGTCAAGGGTTATCAGAACCAATTCCCATTGCATTTTCCCTATTTTACTGGGATCTTTTTTGCTTTTTTTTATGATTCTGATTGAAAGAATGCTGATTTTCACAAGTTTTGTATCAGGTCTTCAGTACGAGGAAATCCAGAGGGCTGTTGGCTTTGCAGCACTGTACTTCTACACGAGGGTGGCGTTTGTGTTGATCTGCCCAAATGACGTGGTTTTGTGGACAGGCATAGCTTTCCGAATGACCTGTACTAAGCGATTTACTCACAGCTGTCTGTATTCTGGCCTGCAGCTACTTCCCTCCCTGCCTAGGAAAGCAGCCTTCTAAATTACAAGCAACTGCTCTGAGTCTGGTCCTGGCTTCCACCAGAGCTGCTGCAGTTTCTGAAGCGTTCAGCCAGCCCAAGCAGACGATTACAGCCTACCGTGCTGCTCTGTGGGCAGCACATGCTAACGGAAAGACAGACATGCATATCACCATGAAGGAGTTAAAGCGAGGGAATCTGAGTCATCTCTTGTTTTCTGTTTGCTTGCCCCAACCCAGGAGTGACAGGTTGTCTTTATTTCTCTGCGCAAGCCTTGCTAATGCCAGTGTTAAGACCAACCTCTTAAAAAGCACATGAACTTTTCCCAAAGTTTCAGTGAAGGCTGCGAAGTGACAAAAATGTTACTCCTCCTGGTTTGCAAACTCAGTGCCGGCTTGCTTTCCTTTTCCATTGCTGTTTTCACCCTGCAACAATACTGTATGTTTGAGTAAACTTTCATTTGCTAAGTGTTCTGGGATCCATACCATTTGAATTCAGAGCACAGCAAATGAATGGGATCCTTCAAAAACAGTTGGGGATAAAGAGTTTATAAATTATCATATTACTAGGGAAAAAAAAGGTTGTTGATTGTCTAGATAAGCAAGTGCCTAGTTTCATTGGCCATTAGGTAATTATGATTGTTAACTGTTTATCCTGTTGTCTGTGGAGCTGCCTTTTTTGTCCGGACTCTGTAGAGTGATCGAACACATCCTTCACAGTTGATAAGTTCACTTGCTTCCCCAGCATTTATATAGCCCATCTAGCCTTGTAAAAATATTTAGTCAAAATCAGGAGTGAGTAATTCACTGATGAGTTTGTCTTGAACTTCGAAGCAATACATGGTCTGTTCATGGGCTAAAAGTGTTAACTCGAGGGAGAGCATGCAATCTCCCCTAAAAATGCAACACAAATCAGGTCCTAGTGTGGCTGAATTCTGCGAAATGCTAATCTGGGTGGGATGTGTTCCCCTGAATTGCAGAAGTATGCTAGAGTTACTGATGGATTGTAATACACGTATGTGACCATAGATAAGGACCCAAGTTGCACCATGGAGCGATAACTTTAATACTTTGCCTTATTCCCACGCTTTCTATTCTGAGATGCGCCTTTGCTTTCTTCCCAGCAAGTTTATATGTTCTTCACCAATACAGCACACTACAAAGAGGCTGGAGGTTTGCATCTGCCTCCCTAGATTGCAGAGGGTACTGACTTTAATTCGCCTTTTAATATGCTGCAAAATGACATAATGAAGGGTTGGGGTTTTTTTCATTATCTGAGGTTATATAATCAGTTTTTGCCTCAGTGTAGCAAAGTGTTTAAATAGGTGCTCAACTCGATGCACGGTGGTGTTTTGACGGATTTAAGCCTTGCTCAATTTCGGTACTTTCAGCACTGAAGCTCTTACTATTTGTAAAATAAATACATATGTTGAATATAATATGTATTACTTATAATAGGGGAAAAAAAATCTCTATTAACTGGCAGCACAAAGCTATCTTCAGTGAAAGCAGTTGAAATATCTTTGTGGATTTAAATACAAATAGTCCTGGGTGACAATCCCTGCATCTGACAAGGCTGTATATAAAAGGCTCCTCTGGCAAGCTGCCAGCGCCTAAATGTTGCTGAGGCTTCTGCTCTTATCTTAGCCAGGAGAAAAAATGTGATGGGAAAGTGTTTGAGAAGGAAGAGAGAGAGTTTAGGAGTGGTCTGAGGGTGATAGAATAAAATTTAAATAGCGATGCTTGTGTCAGGAAAGCATATCAAGCCACTGAATAATCTTTTAAGAGAAGTGGGAACTCCATTGGGTTAGGCCATTTGACTCAAAAAAAAATAAAATCAAGAAATAATTTAACTTTTGTTAGAATCTAGGCTATTTCTCTCTTATGCAAGACACAGAGGATACTTCAAACGGTTTTTAAATTCCCTAAAAAGTTAAATTACCTACAACATTGCGTTCATCTTAGTATAAAAGCATAGTGAGTTTCTTACTTCTTTTCTCAATTGCTGACAGGCTGATACAAATAACATTTTTTTTTCCTTGCTTTTCCAATTTTACTTTTGAAATTACCAACCTAAGACTCTTGGAAGCTGAAAATTTACTGTTGGCAGCAGACAAGAAGCAGCTGCAGTAGCTGTGTTTCTCACATAGTACCAAGCTGATGCGCCTCTCTTCTACCCGGGAAAGGCTGCTCTGAAGAAGAAGGATATTTTGGAGTTTCTATCAATCAGGTTGTAGCGATGCAAGTGGAGATGCAGTTAATAATCCATCGAGAACTGCCGCTTGTTTCCTACGAGCCCCCAAAGAGCTGGGAAGCGTGGCTTTGTCCTGGTGACCTGGGCTGCATACAAGTCACCTTCTCCACGTGAAAATCACTGCTCGTCCCTTGGGCCATCTCACTGCTGATGCTTCCAAGCTCCAGCTCATTGTCTTCTCCCTTCTGTTGTCTTAGGGGATAGAAGGAAGTGTGGTGAGACATAGATTATTCTTTAAGTGCCCAGAAAGTTTAATTAATCAGTCCAGTACCTGTAATTGATGAGAATCCTATTATTTAAGCGGATGGGGATCGGAGGATTTCAGGTCATAGAGAACTTAATACAAAGTAGGAGTGCTTGATGGTCACTATATTTCTTTCCCTTACTGGAAGGAGGAAGAAATTTTGCTCAAATGCATATAATTGAGCAAATTCTTAGAAAGAATATGCGGCAGTATGCTGTTATAAGTAATGTGTGGCTTTTGTATATCACCGTCTGTCATTAATTTTTAAATTGCTTTATAAAATTGGGAAACGGAGGCACAAGAGAGGTGATACAACTTGTGCAGGGTTGCTCACTAGGTCACCATCAGATGAAGAATAGTGCAGGTCTTGTTTCATCTCTGCTGGCTGTAACAGGAAAGCTAACGGTGAGCTGCTGTTAACACATGTAGAGCTAAGGTATCAGCCTAATATGACCAAGCTACAAAAATTCAGTGATTTACTGCTTGAAGCTGTTACAATTAGGTGAGTTCTTAGCTTGCCTCAACTGCAAAATAAAATGGATTATTACAGACTACTTCTACCTTGTGGTTTTTTACACTGTTGAGCCTTGCCTCCTTAGGAAACAATGAAACATTGGTGCTGTCAACAAGTTTCTCTGTTCTTTTACTTTCTGAACAGTCAAAAAGTGCTCTGTAATTTTGGGCCTCCTTAGCTGATGACTCAGTCAGAGACCAAGGATGTTGGTAATGAGAACTAAGAAAGTGATTAACATCTGGCAGGCAACTAAGGCTAGAAAAAACGCTGGCATTTTCACAACGAATCCATTTATTTTAAATGAATTTACTGAGAAAAGCTCACCTGCAGGACATTTAGCCACATTTCTGTATTAAGTAAGCCTAAACCATGTTGTCTTTATCTTCATTTTTTTAGTATATAACTGGAACACTCTTGACATTTTGTTCATCAGACATAAAAAAATGCTGTCAAGTCTCAGCCTCCTTTGGGTGAGCTCTCTGGCTTAGGCTAGAAGGCTGCGTGCAGTCATTCTGAGTCCAGATAACCTTAATTTAGTCTTATGGAAAGATCCATTCTGCTCCTGCGACCGCTTAGGGCTCTACAGCAGGGGAGTGATTTTTGTGTGATGGGGGACTTGACTCAAGAAGACCCCGCCGACCAGAGCCTGCTGGGCTCTGGGATAGCTCTGGTGCATCTGACCTTGTTTCAGGTTGCTTATGCTTTTCATGACCCATTATTTATGTGTTTGGGTTTATTTGGGGTTTTTTTCTTTGTCCGTGGTATCTCAGCCCTCCCATTTTTATGGGTAATGGAGAATTGATCGTAGGTTAGTCTGAAGTAAACGGCAATGTTGCTGCTGTAACTACAAGCAGAATGTGGCCTTCGGACTTTCTGGACCTCTTTCGCATATTTCCAAGTCTGGGTCTTTGTCCTTAATAAAAATAATTATTCTTGGAAATCATCTTACGACATCTGTGGAGATGCAGTAATCAGAGTTTCAGACACTTCATACATAACTGGCTCATTTTTTACATCTCTTTTCTGTTCTGTGTGCCGAAGGAAGTGAAGCGTGTACCGTTTTCTTGAGTACATACATATGTACGTACGTGAGTGTCAGTGTGTGTCTGTCCCCCTTGCCCATAATAACTTTTGGTCCTCTTGGCTAGTTTCATCCACCTTTGAAAAAAAAAAAAAGATCTAAAAAAAATCCCAAATTGATCTAATTAAGTTTAATGAATATAGCTGCTGAGCAGGGCTGAGAAAACGTGTTTGTGCTCTCTCTGAGCTGCATTGTTAGCAGAGATTTCACTGGAGAGTGTGTATGAGAACAGAGTGCGTTAATGAACACACAAACTCGAAGCAAATATTCAGCTAAAATTTACACCTTGGTAGATAAATTTTGTGTAAAAAAAAAGAGATTTTGGTGGTTTCTTCCTCATAGAATGATTTATTCTGTTAAACACCTTGGATGCAATAAAAACGATACTCTGCTGGAGCATCACAGTTACGACCGATGAATAAACCTCAAAAAAAGTTATTTTATTCTGGTAAGAGGCAAGGCTGTCCTGCCTGTTCCTATTGACCAGAGTAATCCAACTAAAAGACACGTTTCCAGATCAGTTTGCAGTGGAGTCTCTGACCTGCAAAGGAAAACTTCAATTCCTGGCACTAACGTGGTCTGCATTTTCCTCGGTTTTGTGCAAAGCTTAGGACATTTATTCTTATTAGGTAATATTACGCAGAGATGATGTTACTTGCCTTCAGCTGGTTCTTGTTTAGAAAGGCACGAAAAAAAGAAGGAAAATAGTTCTAGCTCTCATGTACTGTTCAGCATAATTGTTTTCAAGTACTTGAGATTTATGCTGCTGTGAAGAACAATAGGAAATCGCAAGTGAGAAAATGTTCATCAATGATCACAGGGAAGAAAAATTTTTATCTCTACTTGGGTGGAAATAACAGCACTTGCAGATCTGGAAATAGGTGTTGCGGTTCAACGCACACCATCCGTCCGCCTTGTCTTCACCTCGGCAAATTTCCAGCTGTTTCTGAAAAGCAAACTATAAAAATATGATTTTCTGGGAGAAAGCAGAATAAGGAGGAGCCCTTCCCTCCTCTTCATCAAACTGTCTGTCCCCAGGGTGCCAGTTTGCTTTGCGAAATCAGAAAGCGTGCAAGATGAAGCGTGGAAAACAAGTGCCTGCGGCAAAAACGAAGCCCTGCGAGATGGAGAGCCGGGAGCAAAGCTCATCCTGAAGGGGCTTTGGTGCGATTCGCCAGCGGTCGCCTTGCAGACAGTTTTACGGATCGGATTTTTTTTTTTTTTTTTCCCTATTTTCTCGCTGCAACACGCAGCCACAATCGTATGCGTCGCTTGTAAGCTCTAGCTGCGCCCCAGAGATGCTTTCTTTTCTACTTCTAATCCAACCTAAGGACTTTTAAAGAGATACAATTTACCGCTTTTCTTGGAAATCTGCATGGGGGGGGGGGAAGTTATAATCGCCGTTACATACGAAATAGCTGCCCAGGCCCAGGCTGCCGAAATCGGCGCTGGCGGCTTGCGGGAGGAGGTGGTTGCTCTGCTGGGCGGCGAATTAACGGCGGGGAGCCAAAACCACCCCGAAGCGGGTTTGCGACGGTGTTTTTAGGGCGTCGATTTTATGATCTTATTGTTTGCACAGAAGCGTGGTTGACTCCGGCCTTACGCTGCCCCGCGCGTAACCGGCGCCGCTTTTAAGTCAGAAAGCTGGAAACGGCCAAATGACGTCAAGGCCTGATGTCAACCCTGCCAGATTTCTTCCCAGAAGCCGCGGCTGGCCGTTAATGCCTAAAGTTGAGGGGAACGTGGGATGCGCCCCAGCCCAGGCGGAGAGAACGCGCGGGGGGGTTTTGTCCCTTCTCGCCGCCCGTACCCGGGCCCGCCGGGCCATGGCGGGACGGCCGGCGCCGCTTCCCACCGCGTCGACGAAAGCCGAGGGGACTACAACTCCCAGGTGCGGCCTGCGCCGCCGCGCATGCGCGACGCGACATTCCCCCCCCACCCCTTCCCGCGCCATCTTGGCAGCCGCTTCTTCCATCTCCTCACTCGCAGAGGGTGGTGGGCTGGGGACTACGACTCCCGGCGTGCTCCGCGGCGCCCGCGCATGGGCAGTGCGTCCCGCCGCCATCTTGGCCCGGGGAAACGCTGCTGCCGCCGCCGCCGCCGCCACCGCCGCCACTAAACAAACCCGAGAGCGGCGGCACCGGGGGGGGTGGAGGGGGGTGTGTGGGGAAAGGAGGGGCTCTGCCGCCGAGGAGCCTTTCGATGTGCCAGGCACGGCCGGGCAGGTGGGTCCCGTTCAGCCGGCAGCGTTCCCCCCCGCGTCTCCCCGCTTTAGCCCGGGGCGCTCGCCCCTCAGGGAGAGGGGCAGTTCCCCTTCCCCGGACGGCGGGGACCCGCCGCCCGCCTCACGGGCCCGGGCCCTCGGGCAACGCTCCGGTCACCGCCTAGCAGGCCGCCGAGCGCTGCTTTTCCGCCCGGCGTGAGGAAACAGCGGCAGCCGCCCGCTCCTTCCTTCCCTCCCCGCCGACGGGGACCCCGGGGGCGGCCGCCCCCGAGCCCGGCGGGGAACCAAACGCCGCCAGAAGCTGCCGCCGCTTCCCCCCCCCCCGCGGCGAGGACCCCGGGAAGGTCGGACGGAGAGTCCCCGGGTGGCGGCTGCCTCCGGGCGCCCTTGTAGGAGATCCACCCTCCCTCCCTTCCCTTCTCTTTTCTTCCCTCCGGCCCCGCGCTGGAAGGTGAGACGGCGCCGGGGCTTTTGTTCCCGGTGCCCCCCCCCCCCCCCCCTGTCCGCCCAAGCGGGTGGG